GAGAAGGAAGTTGTTCATCCTCCCAAGCTTTTCCATAGCTGAGATAGCAAGGTCAGTAGCTTACCTGTACTCAGGCAGACTGAGAATTCAGTTCAGGTTTCTGGGCTGTTGGTGAAATTGTCTGTCAAACTGCCTCTGTATAAGGTCTCTAAAAAGTATCTTTACCTGTCCCTCCCCTCAAACAGAACGCATTGCTCATCCTCCCATTAGTTGTTTACTTCTTTACTTAAAAAGCTGCGGAAATGGTCTCCTAGAGTCAATGAGGTGTTTGTTTTGGTTTTGTATGCATCATCTTTTTAAAAAAAAAAAAACAAACCGAAGAGTTATAACAAATAGTTTCCCATCTTGAATTTCCTCTGCTGCCCTGAGTCTGAAAGACGTTTGTCTCCCAGGCATACTCTCCTAACATTACCTGCCGGGGTTGAGGGGCACTGTTTTCACTTTGCTGATATGCCTGAGATCATTGTGCAATCGTGTCTTTGTTGTGACCTTTTTTCTCTAATGTAGACACCTCAGACTATGTTGAGGTAGATTTTACTTTGCTTGTGTATTTGTTTAAACAGATTTGCCATGTTCCACAATGTCAGGATACCTAAAGAAAACATACTGAATATAGCTGGAGATGTCACAGCTGAGGGGAAGTACTCAAGTTCAGTCAAGGTATGAATTAAGGTTTTGGTTCATTAATACAGTTCATTAAATATACAAAGCTATGAGTAGGTTAAGAGAGAGACCATGGGCCTCTCATGTTGGGAAATACTAGATACCTGGACTTAAATAAGGCTGTTGATGATTTACATAAGAGAGTCAGAATGCTGGCTTTTTAATTGCCTTTCAGAGATGTCTCGGCTCACCTTACTGATTTTACTGAGTTCTTGCTTTTTGCACTGTCCCACTGATCCCAAAGTAGTTCAGAGAAATCACTTTGAGTCTTGCCTGAATGCCTTATTGGATCATGCTACCAGAGTTGTACTGGATTCACGGGGGATGTAAATGAAATGTTCGCCTCACCATTCAGTCTGTGCCTTTTATTCATTCAGGATGTTAAAGAGCGTTTTAGGGCAGCTCTGGGATCCTTGTCCACTGGCAGAATTCTCATCACGGCAATTTCCATAACGAATTTAAAGCTTGCCTTATCGATAGCCATTCGCTTCTCAGCAGCTCGCCGACAGTTTGGACCAACTGATGGTGAAGAAATACCTGTTCTTGAATACCAAACACAGGTAAATACTTTGGAATTTACATCTACAGACTTCTATGCAATGAAACTCAGATTCAGAGCTACTGCAGATCAAAATAGCCACACCAAAGTTAGTGAAATTAAAGTTGACTATGTTATCTACGGTGTCTTTCTAATGCAGCTGCGGGGGTTAATTCCAACTCAAGACCTTCTCCTGGCATGATCAGGCTTTTGACATAAGTTCTTGGAGCAGCAAAACCCAGAATATTCATGTTTCTCTGAAGTGCCTAGAAACATTTGTCTTCTAAAATAGTAACTTTTCAAAGACAGACTGTATTCTATGCACACATGAAAGTACTGCAGATGTAGAAACTAGTGTTTGTTTAAAAATGTCAGTGCCTCTTTTGCTGCTAAGCTAATTTTCTCAGGTTTAGCCTTTATGCATTAAAAGTATAGAAATCAATGACATTCATTGTGGTGAAATCTCAAGCTAGCACTAATTTTGAGAGGAATATAACCAATGTTTTTCTGCAGATTATGCAGATGAAAAACACCTTTTGCTCTTAAAAAATAGAACAAGAATATGTAAGGATACTGGGGAATAGAGAAGACGCAGGTCTGATGAATGAGAAAGGTTAATATAAGAAGTGCTGAAAAAAAACCTGCCCAGTTTGTCCTTGCAAAGTGGGTGCTTTTTTCCAGGTTTACATTTAGTCTTGAAACTTTGAAAGATTTCATGGGTTTCTACAAACTGGCAAAAGCTGCCTTCTTCCCACCTCTTCTGAATAAACCAGGGTCTGCATCCCACTGTTCTTCAAGTCTCTCAATTTTTCTCAGTTTTGGCTTGTTCTGTGGGCTCTGCTTGCAGAATCTCTCATCCCCTTCTTTCTCTGCAGCAAAGCTTCCCAGCCCTGGTTTTGTTTTGTTTTTTTTTTTCACAGAATGCAACCAGCACTAACGTACATTCAGCAACAAACAAGCAAGTAAAACAGTTGCAACCTCTGTCATGCTGGTGCTGAAGAAACACATGAATCATGACTGGCCCCAGCGTGCCAGACATTGTATAAACACAGGACATTTATCACAAATTCATGAAGTACATGAATTAGAATAACGTAACTGTAACTTGTGTATAGAGTAGTTACACTTAATTATGTTTATAGATGGCTATTGTTAAGTTCTCTTCTCCATAAAACAGTTTTCCAATTTGAACAAAGTAAAAAAGAATGGGTTGGTTCAATATTATAAGGTAGTTACATATATATGACTATAAAATATATATATCAACTTGTGATCAAATCTATTTATTCCAGCAATGGCGTCTTCTTCCTTATCTGGCTGCTGCATATGCCTTAGATTATTTCTCAAAATCCTTGTTTGAGATCTTCGTAGAATTTTATGCAGGCTTATTGACAAAGCAAAGGAGTCAGAGACAGGTGAGATTTTTACACATTTCTTCTTTGCTGAGTTCTTACTATAATAAACTTGAAATTTTTAAATGAAGGACCTACTTAGGAGTCTTAGGCCCTCTTACAATCAAGAATACTAGAGCAACATTCAGAAATATGGACGATACAAAGTAGTGATTAAAGTTGCATTCAGAAAAGCATCCAAATTAGTTTTGATGGAGTGGTTAAAGTTGTATTGATTTCTGTGGGATTTAAGGTTATGTTCCCTTGCAGAATTGTTTATCATAAATATATGATGAAAATGCAAATTCAGATTATAACTGTTGTAAATGATACTGCAGGGGGCATATATCAAAGGCTTACTGAAATGATATGGTTCTTAACTCCTGCACAGACTCTGGGAGTCTGGCTTGAGTTTGCAATTCATATTCATCCATTAGGGTAAATATTTTTGCAGAAAAAAGTTAAGACTTTGGAGTCTTAATGCTGAATTTCTTATCCACAATCAGACCATTGGAAGTCATCCCTTTACAGAGGAAAACATTTGATCTATCTGTCTCTGTGCATGGACTGATTCTTAATTAACCAAAATAACTTCAGTATGGTTTTTTTATAGCATATACATTTTACTTACTTAAATATTGACAATATTAATTATTAGGGCCTACACACGGTGTATTGCTCAGATCTCACTTAAACACTCAGGCTTTTTTCAGCTATAATAAAGCTCATGAAAGATTTGTGTACTAACGGCTGGGTATTCTAATTTCTCCTCTTTGCACAAACCACAGAAGAATCTGTTTGATTTTTTAATCTCATATTTTATGTTTGAAGGTCTCCAGTGCAGTCACTAATCTTAGGCAAAACAGTGGCTATCAGAAAAAAAAATCATGATAGAAAAAATCAGATCATTGACAATGTTAAGAACATAATCCATATGAATTCCTTTTATTCTACAGGAGATATTAAAAAATGAACAAACAAACAAGCAAAACCAACCCAGGGAGTTACCCTTAAACAAGCTGTGGTAGTATCAACCCACTATCTCCAGAAACTGGAATTCGAAACACATTTTCAAAGGAAGACCAAACAGAGATAGTGTAAATGCAGGGTACTGTGATTCTCTGGAAATTGAGGGGGTACATTTAAGTTTTCCTACTTTTTGCAAAATTGATGCTTGAAGGATCAGTGAAAACCGTGTAAGGCAGTATTATAAACAAATCCCTTGCTGACTGGGGAGAGAGGAATTGCTTATGTCGCAGAGGGGATAGAAGCTTTCTCTGGACATGGCCACCCTCTACCACCTGCCTCTCCATCTTTGGGAGGAAAAGGTTGGCAAGGAGCGAACTATCCCATGCAATGCCATGTCATCTGGCACATCTGAGCTAAGACCTACCCATGTGTCCATTACCTGGCACAAATTATTGCTGTCCCACATAAGAAAGTTAGTGCTGAAGGTTTTTCAGTTGTGGCAGCGTTTTTTTATGGCAGCAAGAAATATGCTGTGCCCTTACACAGGTATCAGAAAATTTTATGTATGTATTGCCAGTTGCTCGTTCTTCATTATAAAGCAGTACACATAGCTATGGCTTTAACTTTACTTTGTATAAAAGTTGTTAGTCACTTGCAACTTGTTTTTAACAAAGGCTGATTTGGGACGTGAGATTCATGCCTTATCTGCTGCCAGCAAGCCACTGTCATCTTGGACTGCTCAGCAGGCAGCCCAGGAGTGCCGAGAAGCTTGTGGAGGACATGGTTACCTTGCCAGTAAGTTACAGACTAGTGCATACACTGATCAGAAGGAGAATGGTTATGTTGAAGTGTTCTTTGGCTGTTGTTGTGTCAAGGTGTCTAAATTTTAGCAATATTTTTATAGAAAGGATTTTTTTCCTTATATCCATATTTTTAGAGTTTATTTCATACCTCATACCAGGAAAAAAAGCCTAAACCCATGCAGCATCTGCACCAGCATTTGGACAGACTGTACATGTGATTCAGTCTAGGTTCCAAAAATAAAGATGCAGATTATATAGATGAAAATTCCCCTTGTAAGATGAATGCCACACTTTTCTAAAATCTTTCTAGTATATTCATTTTTACAAGCTAAACAGTGCATTTTCAAGCTCATCTGTTGGTAACAATAGCTATACATACAGGAAAAGACAACTCTCTTGCATTTTGTCACAGAATAATTATTTAATCCCTCTTAGCTTCCATTAGTACATTGTAATACGTTGAATTGTGCACTTGTTCTTATTAAGTGAATCGTCTGGGTGAAATCCGAAATGACAATGATCCAAACTGCACATATGAGGGAGATAACAATGTCCTGCTTCAGCAAACCAGCAGCTACTTAATGAGCTGGATGAGTTGCATAAGAGGTGAGTTTTCGTTTTGGAATCCTCTGCTGGACCCAAGAGTGTGTAGCTAATGGAATTAGGAAATAATTTAATACTGAAAGCAATTGGCATAAAGCACAGAGCATAAATAATGTGCTACAGACTCCATCATATGATACATTTACAATACACAGATATTTGCTGCAAGAAATAATCTTTCTCACAAGTCTTACAGAAGTCAACTAGATGTTTTGCCAACCCTAATCATGTTAAGTAGTATCTTTCTCCCTGAGAAGTACAGTTTAGTTCAATGGAACTACTCCTAAAGTCGCCATAAGTCTGAGCACCCTCTGTTTATTGCGCTTAAAACAGTTCATATCTCCTAACTTGGTAGCAATATCCATCAGTACATTTTGTAGTTCTCTAGATTTTGTTTCAATTTTCTAGCAGTGAGTTTCACCAGCGACTTACAGAACTGGAAAACTCAGCAATAGGAGTTGAATCTTATGGGACTTATAGGCAGTGATGTCAGTTTTTTCAGCACTTGTCCACCAGTCCTCATTTGGCTGGACTAGACTAGACATAATAAAATAAATATTATGGCCTAATTGCATCTGGCCCATCAACTGTATGCATGGCTTTCTAACAGGCTTTTAGTTCCAAAGAGTCTGATTTCTTTTCTCATAAATCATTTCTGTTTTCTTTGGTATTTCAGATAAAGCTCCTTTTGAATCCCCTTTTGGAACAATAAATGTTTTGCAAGACTACCATCATATCCTGGGCTGGAAATTCACAGCTACTAGTGTTGAAGATTGCATGGATTCCTCAGGTAGCTGCCTGCTGTTGTTAAACTGATTCTAGAATCTTAAATTCCTTTCCAGAGGAAAGGATCCAGAGATTTGAGATTCAACCTCTGCTACTTAGATATTGGTTATATTACTGTTTGCTGACTTTGTTTGTATCATATGCATTTCAGTTTACTAAGAACATAGTTTGCATTTCAAAATACGTCCTATTGTCCCCAGCCTAAATTCTGGAATGGAGGGTAGCATCAGATATTTTTCTTCCATTTTTGTTCCTCTAAAATAGCATTTGTGATACAGTTTTTTTGCCACTGTATTGTTGTTTTCAAGTGAAACTATTGTAAGGGGCATTGATTGCCACTACCTTATATCACTAAAATACCTTATTTTAGAAAACCATACAAGTGATTTAGGATTATGTTGAAAAGGCTTTATGTGTGTCTGCTTATGACATTTGCTTTTGGTTGCACAGAGAAAAACAAGTAATGGTGAAAGAAAATTCCCTGCAGTTTTCCTGGCTTACTCTGCTATAATCAAATCAAGTGTGACATTAGATGCCATTCCCACTTTCGTATCACTGTGAGCCCAGATTGGCCCTTGAAGGCAAAAATTAACAAAGAGATGAGCAGATAATGAGATAGTGACAGGACATTCAGCCAAAGTGAATCTGTGAAACCGAGAACATACTGGGTGAAGAATCTCCAGTCTTAATATATAAGGGGCAATCGAGTTGATTCCTAGAATTCAGTAACCACTTACTTCAGTGCTCAAATAATTGCAAAAAATCTTAACTTCAGATAGTGATGCATAGTACCAAGTGAGATATTATCATAATAGCTATGGGGTAAAATCTGAATGACTCCAAAATACAAGGGCTTATAAGAAAAAGACTAGTTCAAAACAACTGCTTTCCTTCTCCTTTGTTGTACATCTCCAACTTGTGAAATCCAGCAGAGCATGTGTTCTCTCCTCTCTTGTAATACCTACTGAACCAGGCTATCATTTTAAGCATATCCAAATCTGTTTATTGTTTTGTTCTGTTAGAAACTGGACTGGGAAGCAGCATGTGAACATTCACAATTCCCTAAATAATATTCTACATTAAACCTTAAGCTAAAACACAAGCAAGCAGGATTCGTACAAGGAATTCACACTGCAGTAATTTTTTCCTTAATAGCTTCAGGCTGCTCTAAAAATGTAACACACTTACGTACAAAGCAGGTCATTCAAATGTGATTACATTCAGCCACCTTTGCAATGTTAGAAGTTATGTGCTTCCACGAAATGTGGAGTTTCTTCTGTTCTTATATTCTCAGAAGAGATTGAGTACCTTGCAGACTTAAGTCTTAACATGGTGAGGAAATAACAAGCTAAAAAAATCTGATCGAGTCAGAAGTCTAAATTGAGCTGTGGATATACTTTGTATTTTAGCATGAGGTCAATTTGTGCTAGTGTATGGTCAGGTGTGCTATGTCTTTACAGTAACCATCTGAGTATCTTAACCAGCTGTTACTTATTGCATCTACAGTACTGGGAAAAGTGTCATGTTAATGGACTGATTAATTAACACTTTCACTTTTCATCTCGGGTAACAAAACCTGAGACTGCAGGATAATCTGCATGTGACTTCTTGCATTATGAATATGAATGTTAAGAATTTTGGTTTTCTCTTTTTCACAGTTCCTTTAGCAGCATATAAATGGCTGGTTTGCTACCTGCTCCGAGAAAGTGACCGAAAGCTGAGCAAGGAGAAGCAGTCTGGGCGAAGTGATTTTGAGGCGAAAAACAACTGTCAGGTAGTACTTCTTCAGCTTTCTGATTTTATTTACTTATATTCATCCAAGTTTGTCTGATCCTGTTAGTTTTATCTTCTTGTGTCATGAAGTACAATTTCCTCAAGCATAAAGCAGCAAGTCAAATAACTAATAAAATGTGATACCTGTCCATGTGCATTGTGTTGAACATGAAAGCAGGAGAACAGTTACCATCAGCAGAAGTCTTCCAGAACGTGTTTCCCTTCAGAAAAGTTGCAAGCATGTGCTGGGTGATGTCTGTAATTTTGATAGCACAACTTCTGAAGACTAAATCTACTATTAAATCTATGGCAGCATCTGATTATTACATCTCCATCTGCTCTGGTGGCCAAATACATAGTGTAGGAAAGAATCTTGCTCTGGCAGGTAGGTAAACTAGATGACCTAATAGGTCTTTTCCATCTCTAATTTCTGTAGTGCAAAGTACTCATGAAAGATACCAGACTGACATCATTGGAACCTGAAAAGGAAACATTGACAATCTACATATAGCAGATCCACTCCCTCACCAGGGAGTTTTAACAGCTAGGAACGGCTTAAGTCCAAATTTCAGTGTATATCCCCAAGCTCCCCAAATTCTTCTGTTACCTCTGTGAGAAAAACTGGCTTGCATCCAAAGAAAGAAGACTTGTCATTTGTCACTGAGGAGAGAGATCTGTTCCTGAAGATGGCCAGTGTCATTCACCTTACCTGCAAAGCTCATTAGAAAACATCAGGAAGGAATATTCAAGTCTGCACCTAGAAAGAGCCAGCCTAGCTTTAACAGGGGATGGTCTGTGTGCAACCACTGGCAGAGTTGAGGACATCTTTCCTGTTTTTACCCTAGAAGCAGCTTATTAGAAAAACTCTTCAGGGTCAAATTCAGAATGGGAATTGCCAGAAATTCAAGTCTGATTGCCTGCCAATTGGCCAGCTCTTGGAAGGCTGGTGCCAAGGCCAGTGTGTTCGAGAAAATGGTTTGCTCAGAAGTATGAAGGTTCAAATGTGCTAAGTTTTAGAGATATTTAGGAAGACAACTGCTTTTGAGATAGGCATTGATATATCTTAGGTCATTAGAAACAATACAGAAGTGCAAGCAAAGGTAAAGAAGGAAATAGATTTATAAGGGAGAAGAATAGGGAATTAATTCTTAATGTTTCATTTCCAATGTTAAGACTTATTTCATTCTGACTAGGGAACTGACATTCATATCTAAAAAGGTCCATCTAGTAAGGGGGAAGTCCTCCCTAAACCTGTAGAGAACAGATGTGTATTTTGCAGTTCACTCTTGTATCTGAGCTTGGACATAAGTATGCCACTGCACAGCTATGAAGAGGGAGACAGTAATCTTTGGAATATGCCTTTTTTAAATGCCACAGTGGAGTTGAATGCGAGGATGATGCAAGCATTTAAAAGAAAAAAGAAAAACTAATAAATTAATTCTAAATGAAAAAAAAAAGAAGGACACTTGGGCTAAAAGCAAACACCAGTTTACAGCTTTGCAACAAATCAGCCACAACAGCAATGGTTTAATGTTCCTCTTCTGTTCATGAACTAGGATGTTTTCAGTCAGCAGTCTATTTCATGGTAGGACACATGCCATGATACAGCAAAAGTGAAGTACATAAAAGTAGACAAGTTGGCAAGGAATAGTTGGATAGTTCTTTCAAAACATATTGCAATCTATTGCAATCCATAAACAGAATCCACTCAAGCTAACATGATCAGGTTTTTTATTTATGATTTGAAGGGACTGTAATAACTTTTCAATAGGTTATTGAGCCACCTTGAAGATTTTATCCTCTTTATAGAACTCTGCATAGTATTAAATAAATGTAAACCTACCTTTATCTTCTTAGAGTTCTATGTGTTTATTATGCATGATTTTGCATGATCTGATGTAGCTACTTGATCCCATACAGTCTGGGTGCAACTGCCAATTTACACTGCTAATAAGCACTCCCTTTGGGTTGGTATAAGAGAGTACCCAAATGGGAACACAGTGGAAAATTAGGATGTTATTTCTAAGAGGCATGTCATGACTGACCTTTGCAAAGACATTGCAGAAGGAGTTTTCTCCTGGAGTTTCTTCTTATAATTTCTTTAATCTCAAGCTGGATCAGCAGATCTAAATCAACAAATCTCCACTAACTTCACCAGAGCAATGCCATTTTGCACCACCTGAGGATTGGTTCCTTGTATTTTGTTACCCAGTGTCCTTCTTTTCTGTTTCCTAAGGTGTACTACTGTCGATCACTAGCCATTGCTTTTATTGAACAGACAGTCTTGCAAAAATATCATGACTACACTCATGACCCCAACATACCATCTACTCTGCAGCCAGTGCTTAAGAATCTCAGTGCACTGTATGGACTCTGGTCTTTGAGTAAACATCTGGCTGTGCTCTACCAAGGTGAGATCAGCTCCCTGAATATACTGTGCATGTTACTTTATAAAAGTCCTGACTTGGCAGGGGGAGGGAATCCTAATTAGGATTTAGAGCATTCTCTTATTGCCTGTGTAATATAAAACAATCATTCTGGACAAAATTTTCAGGAGCGGGAATCTGGAGCAACCCAAAAGACTCTCTCTTTTAGCTCAGAGATGATGGAGAGCTCACAAGTTCTGCTGTGGTCCAGTGCCTGGGGGAGAGGACGTGGAATAGGCAGCGAGATGCTCTAGTGTAGCTTTTTAATGCAAAAGGCTCCAAATATCTTAGATTAACAGTTTTGCAGTCAACTCTAATGAAAGATGTCAATCCAATTACAGAGGAGCATCTATTTAGTCTCTTGAATACTGAACTGATAAACTCCTTTGTAAAAATTAATTAACTGGTGTAAGCTGCTTTGTGAATGTATTCGCAGGTGGCTATGCTTCAGGTGAACAAGCTGGTAGATTTATTCAGGATGCTATTCTGGAGCTCTGCTACAGGGTAAGCCTTCAATATTGTTTGTTGTGATTAAATAATAATATAGTATACAAATACTAAAGAAGAGATATTTCAGTTATTCTGTCCTTCGAGGGGTAAATTAGCAGGATATTACATTAATAGTTTCTGAATAACTTTCTATAAAGCTTAGTAACTCATTGACCCTGAATCTAGTCCTAGTTTATTTACCAAAAAATGAAAACCTTACAAAATAAGATGTCTCTCTATCATTTGTGGCCTTGAAATCTTCATTGGAAAGCCAATGAAATACTACAGTCCAATTCTATTTATTTCATTATTGTGTTAGTGCATTAATTTTTTTTCTCAACACAAAAGCTTTTCAAACTGGCATATATTCTTTGCAGGGAAGCAGAATTTCAAAGAATCTGGCCATTATGTTTTTTAAGTTAAAAAATATGTGGTTTTATGTGTGTAAACATACCATTTTGGTTAAAATGTGTTTTAAAACCCATAAGCAAAGGAGGAAACATTTAAAATATGGTATCTTTTGGCAATTACCCTGGGAGGAAAAAAAGCAAAATAAATCTGGACTCCATATTGTGGATTTCTCTTATGAAAATAATCTTTATGCTGCTCTGTAGTTCACAGGTAGCCATAGACAACTACAGGAGTTGCCAAATGTATGTATGTCTTTTGTTTTTAAACAGTTGAAAGATGATGCAGTTGCCCTGGTGGATGTCTTTGCTCCTCCTGACTTCATTCTCAACTCTCCCATTGGTAAAGCTAGTGGAGAGGTAAGGAAACCTATTTTAAAATTTGTAAGTTTAATCATTAAGAAGGGTATTGCCTGTAAATAGCCGTAACATATTCAAGACACTTCACAGCTCCAAAAGAAAAGGAAGACATCTTTTCAGTGGAAAGTACCAGAGTTAAATTGATGTCACCAGAAAATGACATTTTGCATTTGCTGGAGATAGGCTTCAATAGGAAACTCATGCAGTATTGCTCTAGTTTGCTCTAGTGGGTATCTGTGCTGCTGAACAAAAAAAAATAAAATACACCATCTCCTAAGATTCTTTAAGGAGTAACATGTCTTTAGTATATAGCTTAATAGCTTGGAGAGGTAGTAAGGTGTATTTTTTCTCTGCCTAGGACTTTTGCTGCCTTTATTGGTATTCATATTAACACCCAGTTTGTGTGATGTCCATATAAATGGTATAGAAATTATTTCTTTATTTTAATTCTTCATACATTTTTTATTTTAATAAGAGAAAGGAAAGTTTAAAGCTTGTTCCAGTTAAAAATTATATCAGGAGTTGCACGATTCTTTGGGAATTCTGTTTATCCAGTGGGAATTCTACAGTATGACAGAGTATCTTGTACTAACCAGTGCAAGGTACAGCATTATCCAAGGGATCTCGGTAATCTTAATACAGACTTGCAGGATGCTGTTTTGCTAGCACCTCTCCTTGCTTTAATGAATATATAATCCATCCTTTTTAAGGTAGAGATTTTTTTGTATAGTCTAAATTACACAGAGCAAGAGCTGAATCAAGAGCATAAGAATGGCCATACTGGATCCTGTTCACAGAATACTCTGTAACTGACAGTGGCTAGGGAGAACGCTGTATGAAACAGGTGAAATATTGAGGTGTGCTTTCCCTAGTGTCTCAACTGTTGGCAGTCGGTGGTTTAAGAGATATCTCATGCCAGAGGTTGTATTTGTATTATTCTGTTTAATAGCCACAGATGTATCTATCCTCCATTCATTTTTCCCATCCATTTTCAAATTCAACTGTCTTTTGGCTTCCGTGACACCATAATTTCCATAATTTAATTATGAGTATAGTGAAAAAATACTTCCTAGTCCCAGTCCGTATACATTTACTATCTGTGAGGGCCTTTTCATTCTTCTGACAGGCCTTGTTTTCCTTCCCTGTATCTTTCCTGGTTCTGCCATATCCTTTCTGAGGTGTCATAACCAGACCTACAAGCAGGATTCGGGGTGTGGATCCGTCATGGATTTGGCTATACTAGGTCACAGTCCCTCTCTGCTTTTTTTTCCTTGACACATTTGAAGAGCTGTATTTCATTCCGAAGTCTCAGCTAACCAAAATTCTTGCTTACTGGCCAACCCAACTCAGCAGGGCCAAGCTGTGGGATAACTTATTTAGAGACTGGTGTCACAGTACGGTAGTTTGGTTTAGTGTGGATAGACCCTGTAGAGAATCACTGGAGCCTGGGGAGACTGCCAGGCAGTTTGACAGGATTGCTGAGTCAAGTGTACTCAATGCTTTTCAATATTCTCTGTCTGTGTCTTCATGTCTGAAGTTGTCCATTGTTCCCATGGTGATCAAGCAATACAGAAGGCAGCCCAGATGTTTCTAACGAGACACTGACCTAACAGAATGATTACTTTGGTAACTCAGTCTCTACACATAAAGGAGGAAAGGCTTAGCTCTACATATCCAGCCACCTCAACAAGAGGACTATAATCATCACTGGAAACTTTGTTTCCATTTCTCTAGATTTTTGAGGATTAAATTAATGAAAGAGGTCATGGGAGGGAAGCTCCAAGGGTTACTCTTAAGAGAAGGCACATTGTTTGTAAAAATGTTAAGAATATCTGTATTGGCCAAAAGCCCATTTTCACCCATTATTCTGTCTCTGACAGAAGCTGTGAGCAGATGCTATAGGCAGGAATATAAAATCTGGGGTAATTACACAGCAATCCGTTCCTAGAATAGTACCCCCTTTCTAGCAGTCAGCTGGAGATTTCTTATCAGCAGCTAAGGCTGTCATGTAGTGGATTTGGCTAGCTCCTTTTTGGCTAGCTCTTAGCTCACACAACTAGAGAAGCCACAGAGGCTTATTAATATTGGAGATTAATATTAGGAATGTAACACATGCAGATAGGACACTACTGACTTACTCGTGTACTAAATATTTGGTAAGTTTTTTGTAAATTCATTGAGTCTTGTTGAGAAAATAATTTCAAGCAGTGATATCCAGCCCATGTTCTGCAGAATTCAGGAAGGTTTTCTGAACTGCCTCTAAGTGGTTTTCAACTTGTGTAAATGTTTTCAATTTAAATTTTAAAAAGGCTGCCAATCCCTCACTCAAAATACTTAATAAAGCTTCTTGTCTGCTGGCTGTCTCTATTCATTGCTATCTTTGCAACTTCTAAAAACCAATGCAAACATTATAGTAAAAATTACAGTATCGTAAAGCATATATTATCCAAGCATAACAGGAAAATTAATTTAATTCGGGATAACCTGTGCTGTACTGCAGTGGAGTGCCTTGCACCACAAGCCACAAATCATAATCGGAGCAGAAGAAAAGTTTCCAAATTTGTTATGGGCAGCTTTAAATACTGAATAATAATTCGGATTCTCTTTAAAAGAAACTGATGGTGTGGACACTGTTTCCCATTGAAGCTTTGACAATCTCATTTTAAGTATGCAAAGTTATCACCACATTTATTTCAGGATTAATTAAAAATTTTTAGACAGCATTAAATCAAACTTGGAATGGAATAAATAGTAAACACTAGCCCACATAATCAAGGTAAAAATATATTTAATATGAAATATATTTCAATATTTATTTAAATCATCAAAAATATATAAGGCCAAGCTATCTTTTGATGTAGAAGGCTTTTCACTTTACATCACTGACTGCTTTTATAGTATGTTAATACTGTATTATACTTTACTCCAACTTACTGTTGAAAATACAGCCTTCCTTTCCTCATGTTTGTATAACATTAATTAAAGTTTTAAGCTTCAGTTAATTATGAACTGCTAAATATTGCTAAAATTATACTTTTGCAGAATTTACTTCCCATGTACTTTTTTTCAACCGTTCCACTTAAAATTGCAAATCGATGAAGATGACGAATTAACATCCTCCGTATGACGGAGAAATTTCTTATGCTCAGATTGAACAGCTCACCTCTGAGAGAGAAGTTATGTTACTTTCCAGAAATGTGTTGAAATAAAGGTAAAACCAGACATACATGAGGGCTTTCAGACACAGTCTTCAGGTTTGGACAGAACGAAGATTAGCTTAATAAGAACTTGTTTCCAAATTTCTACCTTTGATAACTCATGTCAAGTTGAAAACAAGAAATTATAAAGGTTACTGGTTTCCTACTCTTATGCAAAGGATGATCTAAATGATTTACACAGACATCTGATGTTTACAGTACTTTGAAATTTTGTGCTTTATCTTTGTGTTTATTCTTGCCTGTACATAATTATTCACATTTGTTATCTAGAAATTCAATCACAATCTCATTTCAACCAATAAGTTAGATAATTTATCTTGCAGAAGTTTTCTTTGTTTTATTTTCTGTATGAATTAATCCTTTTTATTATTATTATTTTGCAGTTATATAAAAATATGTGGGCAGAGATCCTTCAAGGCAGCAAAGCTCTGAACAGACCTTCATGGTGGGCAGAATTTTGCATTAATAAACCTGTCATAGGCAGGCTGAGGTCAAGATTGTAAACCAAACAACTTGTAAGAGGCTGGATGGGCCTGAGATGGGTACCGTATTTCAAACATCAGGAGGAAATGAGACCATATGTCAAATGCTGAAAATGAAAGAGATTTTCACAGAGAAGTGCCAAGTTTTGAAATAACTTTGAAATCAAGTCCAAGTTGGTCTCAGGGCCTGTTAACATAATAATGACAGGAGCAAGAGCAACACATCGGCACACTCTTCATATTTACTCAACTGAATACAAAAAAAATGAAGATTCATGATCATTGCTTTGCAAATTTTCGATAAAAGAAATGTTCCAGTGGGTCTCCTGACTTTACTATCATATTACAGAAGTTAAATAATTAAAACACATTTCCCACCAGGGATTATGAATAAGATGAACAAAAGCAAAATGAAACAGAATTTGAAGAAAAAAGAAAACAAGAACACCAACAGTGATAAACCTGTATTAAGGGATGGGAATAATTTCCGACTGCCCCTTTGAAGCCTGTGAAGCTCTTCTGATTTACTTATCTGCCTCTGTGTTAAACTGCTTGGTTGCTCTTTCAATGCAGGAGAGGATTGGGATTTTAGATAATCTGTCATTGAATTGTGTATAACTCTGTAGATAAAATTAATTGAAAATTACTCATTTACATGTCTTTTGTAAAAAAAAATGTATGGTAATGCAAACTTGTAAGTCTTATATATGTTCTTGGTTGGCTACAGTGTTGTCAGTACTGCAAAACCAGTATCAAGCCCGGCATACATTGACACACACAGACACTGCATCTATGTTTTAGGTCAGAATATGCTTAAATGCATTAGTATAAATGCTATCTTATAAAAACATATGGCAGTGGTGGGCATTTTTGAACATATTAGGATAGTTCTCTTTCAGCTATATTAACTATCAAATATTTTTATTCACAAATGGAAGAGACACTAACAAAGCTTTGAAAATGCAGAATATTTTATGGTTTAGATATGCTATGAAAAACAAATTAATTTTTTCCTTTATCGTGTCTATGAATTGAAGTACTGTTAAAATCTGGTTCCTGTGGCCTTACTGCTGTGAGCAATCCTATCAAGCCAAAGACATTATTTTAGAAGTTAAAAAATTGAGTATTATTTATGGCTAATCAGGGATGAATTATGGTTTGTCCTATTAAATAAATACTTGAGTGTTGAATTCTGCTCAAGCAGAAACAGACCCTTGTCCTTGTGGGGTTTTATAATGTCATCTACTGTTGCAGTGTCCATGTATGAAAGTTCTTAAGTCTATACAGGCTGCCACAGCGTGCAGTAGTTCAGTAGATGCTTCTTTGATTCCATCTAAATCTGACACAGCTCAGGAAACGTTTTATGGCTGGAGAATGTATCAAAAGGCCAGTGTTAGATTTCTCAGAGTACCTCAAGGTACATTTCTTTACTAAACAGTGTGTGGGGGGGGAAGTTTTTAAGTGCTTATTTGTATTTTTAAGAGCAGTTTATCAGAGAGCCTGGGGACTCCAAGTGCATAATAACACAAGTACAGTTTAGGACAGGCCAGACAGCCCCTTTATATGAACCATGATCATAGTGAGAGAACATTCGGAGAGCATGTCCCCCTCTGCTCCCCTGTTCTCGGCCAAGTGCTTGCAGAGACCCAACCTAGATACCACTTCAGAAAAAAGAGAGAGGTGAGGAAAAGCAATCAATTCTACATTAACAAAGCCAGGTACCCTTCCCTGGAGGCATGGACTCCTTAGGCAGCTTGCTAACTGCCACGATTCTACGGAATCAGACCATAAATAATACAACTATATGAAGTGATGGCTCTTGGTGGAGCCCGTAGTAGTGGCACAACCTGTGTTGTCTCGGTTCAGAAGTGGGGAGTTGGAGACAACCACAGGCTGATAGCTTTTAGATGAAAGGAATGTTCTTTTAGTAAAGATAACTCCTTAGCCAAGCCTCTCAATCTTAAATAGTAAGAGTTTTACCACCACAGGTTCAAGGTCAATTAAAGATGATCACTCTTGACATGCTTCAGTAAAAAAAAAAAAACAAAAAAACCAAAAAACAAACAAAAGCCCCAAAATCTAGAAACTGTTGTTTATAGTCCCATTGGAAAAATGAATAAAAACTACCTTGTTAAACCTTACCTGTGCTTTTTTTTCCCTGAACTTAGTTTTCTTTGCCAGAGGTAGCCAGTGGTGCCTGTGTTTTTTCTGTCTCTATTCCTTCTTCTTTTCTAATGAGGAACCATAATTCAGGATGTCCCAATGGAAGCTCTCTGTCTAGCTACTGAACTGTAGGAAACAGTCAAGCCACCTTTGCTGAAGAAAAAACACAGTATAAAGTATTTATTTTCTTTGAACTTTTTTGCCTCTAGTCGTGTCCAATAGGTGGCATCGTCCCATGGAAAAAATAGATCAGTACAGCTAAACACCTGTAATTAGGTATTATGGAGTCTCGTGATTATCTTCACCTGTTTTCTGTATCTTTAGGGAATCCAACAAGCCTGTGCCATTTGCATTCGTGCAGACCTGAAGGAAGTAGGCAGAGCACGTTATGCCCAGTGCCCGGTGTGAACAGCAGGATCTCTGACAGCGAAAGGGGCACGTGGGGAAGGGATGCCCTGCTGGGTAACATGCAGAGACCGGGAGCGCTGATCCACATTCTGTGCTACCCGTTGATGGGCAGCATTAGTTCCCTGTCTAACACACATGGGATTTCACCACCTCTGAGCTCTTCATAAGTGATACGGCCATTTCCTACCTCCTTCCTCACAGCTGGGAACAGGGCTGTATATAAATCTTGCGTATAGACTGCAAGTCTATTTATGAGGCCTTTGTGTCCCAGAAGAAAAAACAAAGGTGTTTGGCATGTGGCTTAAGCCACCTTCATCCAAAAAAAAACCCTTGAGAAATCAGCTGTGTCGCAGTAGAGAACTGAAGACCCTGTGAGCCCCAAAGAGACCCACCAAACACAGGACAAGACAGACAGACACCTCCAGAGAAATACATCCCTAAGCTGTTCCTGCTG